CGAAAAATGTCCTCCGTATATTCAATTTCACTACACAAATTTTGAAAAGGCAGCTCTGGACTTCTCCCCAAGCCAAACTTTAAACTTTCCATGACACAAGCCATCAAAGTGGAGTCCCTGGGATATAATTGCATGGGTCGCGGAAATCTAAGATGCTGTACACGGTCTCAAAGCGGGCTAGAGCATTATAAAATGGCGTGTATCAACAATTACCTGTAACTTCCGTGGCACCCTTTACCCAATGTTGCAGCAGCACTAGGTGAAAAAAATTTCCGCTTAAATGTCGGGCTTAGAGTATCATTTGACCCTGGAACGACTTTTAAGCCACAGCAAGCCCGAGTCAGCCGTTAAAGCCGATTTTCACACTTTGTAACTTCCGAGATAACGTAATTTCCGTGATCAAAACACCCACTAAAACGTATGGGAATACCTTATGGCTCATGTTTTTAGGAAGGTAGTACAAGGTCTTTACTATAAATACCATTGCCATAACTCTAGTATCATTCAGGACCCCAATAATCAGAAAAACTTAATTGGATATTTCTCACTTTCGGCAAATCAGAGACGCCAAAACTACCCCGAAACGTGAGAATCGCTCACAGATGCTCTTGGAATATCTGAGAACACTTTATCATTGTCACAAACATGTTGTTGGATTCAGAACTTTTTTTTCAGTGCACAAGGACAAAAGTTAACTGTTCTACCACGCCTGAATCCACCCCAGCTGACTTTCAACAATCGAACATAATAGACGGTTTCGAAGCTTTTAGGCCTTCTTCAATGCTCCTCTTTGTGTGTTTCGCTGTCGCTGGCGAGGACAAAATCATCTCCAACTGTGTACATGAGTAAACAGTCCCGAGCCGAACACACTGTCTCGCCTGCCAGCCAAAGTTACGCCTGGATGAGCTGATTACGCACAGTCCACCAGTTCTTTACGAGAAAACACTCACCGAATTACAATATCCCCAGGCAGGGGACGCCGAGATCGGCCTTTCTCTACTTCGCTATCATCGCGTCCGCTAATTCACAAAGTTGGATCGACTCGATCTGCTCCAGACTTCCCATCCAAGTTTATGACCTCCGCCCGCCACGAGTCCCCACCAATCGAGACGCCCACATCAAGATTAGGACTTGTTGTGGCCTGCACTTCCCCAATCAAATTAAAGTTGAAAATAAATAAAGATACCCGTGAATTTTTGTTCGCGAACTGCACTGCGGTGGTATTTTTACCACCCAAAAATAATGGAGAGTTTCTTTTAAGAATATCTCAAAGATCAAAGGCTTTTTCCCCCACCAATTTTTGGGGTCTTTCCCAGATATGTCATAACAGTGCACTCGAAAAACCTTGCAAATTATTTCAGGCTTTGCAAACAGAAGTATTTTTAGCATACACTCTTACAGCATGGTAAAAACGGTCCCTGGTTTTCCCAGGAACTCCCTGGAAATCACCTTTGTCTTTACCATAGGCTTCCTGAGAAAACCAGGAACTGTTTTTACCGAGAGTTGTATCGGTAAGATTCTCTATAGTATGGTGAAAATGCGCTATGTTCTGGCTGGGGGTGCGCCTGACTCAATAACATACCATTGAGAGTTCACTGAACCTTATATATATAGATATTTTGACATATTTCGTTTGTATTATGGACACGATCTTTACCAGCCTTTCACAGCAAGACATTTGGAGTGTACACAAGCTTACGAACTATTTCGTAGCTTAACAATTTAAATGGTCTGTGCCGCACACGGTAAAAACTGTTCCTAATTTTCCCACGTGGTAAAGACAAAGACGATTTTCAGGGAGTTCCTGGGAATAACAGGAACCGTTTTCATCGTGTACATAGGCTCCCAAAACTTCGCGGTTCCACAGTAGTGATGTGACATGAAAATAAATTCTTCACTCACCGCCTTGTTCCGGATGCTGTGGATGGTGACGCAGTTGCCCACGGTGGACACGATGGCCAGCACGGCCAGCATGGTGGCGCGGATGACGTCATCGCGGTCCAGGGTGGGCGCGCGGGGCAGGCAGCGCGTGCCGGCCAGGGGCGCGGACAGGTTGGCCAGGGCACCGCACACGTCCAGGGGCAGCGTGGCGGCCGTGGCGTTGTCGCACGCCGCGCACCAGGACGCGTTGACGGCCACCTCGCGCTCCCACAGCCACGCGCACACGTGGTCGCACAGCGGCGCGAAGCGCGGGCCCAGCGACCACAGCAGCTGGGCCGTGGCGTTGGCGGGCAAGTCCGCGTCCAACATGGCTGCGGTCTCACAGTGCAGTGTGACGCACCTCACAGTGCAGTTGCAGTCCGACGCACCTCACTTTGGTGCACCTCACTTTTGGTGCACCTCACTTTTGGTGCACCTCACTTTTGGTGCACCTCACTTATGCAGTCCGACGCATCTCACAGTGCAGTCTGACGCACCTAATTTGGAGCACCTCACTTCGACGCACCTCGCAGAAGACTTTCGTGCGGCTTCCTCGGTGGACGTCGTACCGTAGGCCGATTATTTTAATATCACTGAGGAGGGCGCTGCTGAGCCTCGAAAAATGTTGCGGACACTTGTGGGGACTCACTAAGGCTTTTAATTATGTCGATCGTTCTGGTTCCTCGGTATTTGTAAGGGCCATTGAATACGGCGGCATTTACGTCTCCAAAGTCAAATTGATTAGGTAACAACAAAAAAAAAAAACTTTTAACTAAAAAAGATAAAGAAACTAGGGTATCTAGAGGTGTAATTCTTCCTTTGAAAATGTATTAGTATACTGGAGGACTGCAATCGGAGAAATTAAGGAATTACTGGTTTGAAGTCCAAAAAAAATGCAATATTGTTCGAACTTGCATGGTTTCAGTAATACATCCAGTTTGCAAACTTTCGGCCCCCGGCGTCTGCTGGCTGCATCGGTAATTCCTCGCTGCGCAATCTTAGCAGCTAATTGAGGCGAGACTTAAGGGGCGATCCTTCAGGCTGTCCACTTTCTGAGGCCGAAAGAAGAAAAAGAAGAAGCACTCCATCGTTTGCCAGTGTGGGCGGCTTCCTCGACGCGCGGTTTCGCTGGGGTTCGCTTCACAGGCACTTCCGGTGCGACACTGCGGCACAGGCGCGAGAGCAGCGAGAGCACAGACGCGTGGTCGCGTACGCTGTGAGGCGGCGCGAGGCGAAGGCGGCGGCCTGCAGTGCGTGCGACCCGGAGGGCGTCCGGCCCCACACTGGAGGGAGCCGTGGGGCGCTGCGGCGCCGAGCCACCCCCTCGCAACCCCCTCCCCAGTCCACGCGGCGCACAGTGGGCCAGAAGACGGGCGGAGGCGGTCTAAGTCCCGGACGCGTTTTGAGCTCCAGAGTCGCTAAATGGGACTCGAGACGAACGTGTCGCCCCACCAATGGATTGCTCTCCGAACCGGGAATCGATTGGTGGGGTCACACCCTCGGTTCGAGCCCTGTTCAGCGACCCTGGAGTTCAGAACGCGTCTGGTGATTCGGCCGCCGGCGCCCGTCTGCTGGCCCACTGTGCGGCGCGCGGGTAGCAATGGGGCGTCTGGAGTAGGGCTGGGCGGTTTTCCGGTATACCGGTTCGCAGGTTCGGTTTTTTCAAGAACCGGCCTGCCGGTTCAGACCTAGGAACTGAACCGGTTCACCGAATACCGAAGTTTTACCGGTAAACCGACGAACCGTGGCTCAAGTATTTCTTGTAATTGGTCCATTTCAAGTAAGTCAAGGGCTGTCAAGGAAAAATTGCGGCATATTTTAGCGCATACTAGTGATTTTCATGGAAATTTGAAGAATTAACAATGAGTGTGCCAGCTGTAGAGCCTTTACCGATGAAGTTACTTGTTTTTTGATGCTTTTAAAGAGCCGGTTCGGTTGAAAAAACCGGTTTGGTGGAAAATACCGGTATTTTTCACTGAACCGGTATACCGGTTCGGAAAAAGGTTTTTTGGTGAACCGGAAACCGGTTCGGAAATGTCTGAACCGCCCAGCCCTAGTCTGGAGTGCGTCCGTCCCTGCCTTGCTGCAGGCCACCCGAATACTACTACTCACCGCCATGATCCGAACTAAACATAACAATTTTTAAAACTACTTCTACAAAATCCAAAAGAATCTTCGATGGCTACCGTTTTCATCCCAGAAAAAATAGGAGATGATTATGACGGCTTTGAAGAAACTTTGACTTCGATTTTAACCAGTTGCAGCGTTAAGAGAAAGATAGTACGACAGACGCCACTTTTTCCCATTGAATCACTAAACAGGTGGGTCGGCCGTTGAGACCTGTGGTTTAAACTGGGACGAGGGGGTAAACACTCGTGTAATACTCGGTAAACAAAAGCAGTCTATCAAGCGTACTGTGACGTATTACCCTTTTTGGATCAAATACGCCAAATTTTGGCATTTGAAGGGCGTAATACACATGTAATACCCCCATAATTCAGGGTAATACCGAGTGGCCTGTACACGATTTCTTGAAGTGTTAGCCCCCTCGGACTGGGATAAGCAGTGTGCAAATTGTAGAAACAAACCATAGGATCAAACTTTACTTTTATTTATACTGACTTCAAAGCATACGAATTAGCACTTGTCTCGTGTGTGTCGACAAAGCAGGGTACTAAAATAACAGCTCAATCATGAACTGGTGGCCAAAAGCCACCGACCTTATTAAGAACGGGTAAAATTTGACAAATCAAAATAAATGTGCGTCGTCAATCAACCATACAACTGAAATCTTGAGAATACATTCATAACGGAATAAGAAAAATTCTGCAGAAGGATGTGCGCATAGGGGATGTGACGCACAACTGAAAACTAAAGATGGCAGAAGAACAATTTACATAAAAGCGCAGAAAAAAACGAGGAATAAAAACAGTCTGAACAAAAAATGACCATTTGACATTCTCTCAATGTCTTCTCTCTATACGCATACTTCTAACTAGAACAACTTTCTTGAGCAAAGTTTACAGTTACAATACTTTCAGATTATAAATTAATAACTGTCCGAAAACGAGCGAAAATTCTTATTGCAAACTATGCACCTGAAAGAGCCCCCCTTCCCTCCGGCTCATGTGGGTCCCAAGATGCTGACTAAAATGATCTCCTCTACTAAACTTTTTGTTGCAAACAGAGCACTAGAAAGGCTTTTCTCCCGTATGAGTACTGAGATGTTTTCTGAGATGAGATCCTGAAACAAACTTCTTGGAGCAAACAGTGCATTCATATGGCTTCTCCCCTGTGTGAGTCCTGAGATGGGTCTATGAGATGACTTTGTGTAACTAACTTCCTGTTGCAAACCGTGCACTCGTAAGGCTTTTCTCCTGTGTGAGTTCTTAAATGACAGATTAAAGTATTCTTTAAACGGAACTTGTTGTTACAAACCGTGTACTCATAAGGCTCCTCTCCTGTGTGAATTGTAAGGTGTCTTTTAAGTCCACGTGCAGCACAAAACTTCCTGTTGCAAACCGTGCACTCGCCCAGGTCTAAAAATCTTGTGTGGTTTGCGGGATCCTGTATCATTTTGCAGGATCCCGTCTAGTTTTACGAGATCTCGTATGGTTTTGCGGGATCCCGTTAGAACACTCGAGATCCCGGGAGGGTCGCACAGGATCCCTTAAGACCTTACGGGATCCGGTAAGGGTCACACAAGATCCCGAGAGGGTCATAAGGGATCCCTTAAGTAGCCGGGATCCCGGGAGGGCTGCACAGGATCCCGAGAGGGTCGTACGGGAACCTGCACTCTGCCGAGATCCCGGAAGAGCCACAAGGGATCCCGTGATGGTCTTGCGGGATCCCTTATGCTGCCGAGATCCCGGGAAGTACGCACGGGATTTCAAATTTAGGTATGCTGTAACTCGGAAAGTTTTTAACATTTTAAGCTCAAATTTTGTATGGGGTATATTGGCTAAAATTCACCAGTGCCATTTGAATTTTATTGAAATCTAACAACTTTTTTCTGCTATCTCGAGAACCACTGGAGCTATCCAAATTTTGACTGCAGATTCGGATAGATCTCGGTTCCAACCCCGTAGATAATTCAATCTTTTGATTATAACTGCAGGAGAACTTGCATCTGTACTTCACAGGATCCTTTTAGTGGGTAAAGGATTCCTTTCCGGCATACGAGATCCCGTCCTGGCGTACAGGATCCCGTCCCAGCATACGGGATTTTGAAAATTCGTTAAAGGATCCCGTGTGTCCTCACGGGATCCCGTCCACCTCAGGATCCTGTATGGCTCGGGATCTCGTATAGTGGTACGGGAATCCCTTAACGAATTTTCAAATCCCGTATGATCGTACGAGATTTTTAGACCTGGCGTAAGGTTTCTCTCCTGTGTGAGCTCTAAGATGCCTTTTGAGTTGTGTTCCTGTACTAAACTTCTTGCTGCAAACCGTGCACTCATAAGGCTTCTCTTCTGTGTGAGTTAAGAGATGACTCCTATGAGATTACCTTGGGCACAAAACTTCTTGTTGCAAACCATGCACTCATAAGGCTTCTCACCTGTGTGAACTTTAAGGTGTTTTTTGAGTACTGTTCCTGAACTAAACTTCTGGCTGCAAACCATGCACTCATAAGGCTTTTCTTCTGTGTGAGTTAAAAGATGACTCCTGAGATTACCTTGCGCACAAAACTTCTTGTTGCAAACGATGCACTCATAAGGCTTCTCCCCTGTATGGGTTCTAAAGTGTACCGTCAGAATAAATTTACGTCCAAGCTTCTTGTGGCAAACCGTGCACTCGAAAGGCGTCTCCCCCGTGTGGCTTCGAATATGCCGTGGAAGCAGACTTGCACTACAAATCCAAAGGTCAGACTTCTCGCCACTCCAGAGGCAAGACATAAAAGTCTCGCCAAAATTTGGTCAGACAAGAAAGTCTCGCCAAAAAACGGTCAAACACAAAAGTCTGACCCCAAAATGGCGAGACTTTTGTGTCTGACCACTACCTAAAGGCCGAAATGCGCCGGACGGTTACGGCCTAAAGGCCGTGGTCAGACACAAAGGTCTCGTCATTTTGGGGTCAGACTTTTGTGTGTGACCGTTTTGTGGCGAGACTTTTTTGTCTGGCCAAATTTTGGCGAGACTTTCAGGTCTGACTAAATCTTGGTGAGACTTTAATGTCTCGCCATATTTTGGCGTGAAGTCTTTCCATCCAAATTGCAGTGGACTCTCGTCCAGTGGAAAGGCATTCGACGCGATACTCATATTAAGCAAAATTGTTGATTTAGGCCGTTTTTCGTCCTTCATCCGTCCGTCCCTTACGAGGTGTGAGAGCTAGACATCTCATCTATGGCTCAAATGAAAGCTCTTTAAGCGCACTACAGGTGGTATTAAAATCACGGAGCTGCAACAAGAGCTGTGAGAGGGAAAGGCCGGCGATGTCTAATTTGGTCAGTTTGCCCTAAAATGTCTTACAAAGAAATTTCCCATAATACGAAGAAAATGGCGCAAGCATAATACGAACGTGGTTTTTCCTCGTATTACGAAGGTTTTTCTTTGTATCTTTGTACACATGTCGTGTCACATCCAAACGAATGTGACATCCATGTACTGTCACATTCATTTGAATGTGACATGCCAACTTTGTCACGTTCGTTTGAATGTGACACGCTATGATTGTCAGAATAAGGGGTGTCACGTTCGTATTAAGGTGGCTCATACAATGTTAAAAGCACTTTGTAAAAATTTTTTTTGGTGAAGATGGATTAATTGTTTAAATTGTTTAAACAAATTTTTTAACAAAAAATGGTTTTTATTCTTTCTCTTGAAAACAACTATTGCAGATATAAAGCCCATTCTCGTCAATTCTATGACACTACTAGGGATGAGTCTCCCTGATTTTTTCCCCACAGATCTGAGCAAGTATGCGAACAAAATCTTCCGAGAACCAAAATATTAAACGTTTCGACTAAATCTCCAAAAAATGTCACTTTCCATTAAACCAAAATGAAGCTTACTCAATTATCTAAAAGGGTTTTAACACAGAAATTGTAAAATCTTAATCCGTCTACATCAAAATTTTTTTTTTTTTGGCAAAGTGCTTTTAACACGTATGAGCCCCCTTAACGTGACAAAGTAGGCATGTCACATTCAAACAACCGTGACAGTACACGGGGGTCACATTCGCTTGGATGTGACACGACATGTGTACTTGGTACCATGTGTCACATTCGATTTAATGTGACAGTTCGACAGCTGATTGCGTGTCACACCCGAAGTAATGTGACAAAGCGGTGCGGTATGTCACTTTCGTTTGACTGTAAATTTTCACCGTCTGTCACGCTCAAACTAACATCGCCGTTTTCACGTGAAACCAAACGTGACGTCACATTCCTTGCCTACCAGTGTTGGTGTCCGGGAGAATTCAGAGAGTTTCAATGAGTGTCTAACCTAACCTTACCTGGCCTTGAATTTGTCCCGATCGCGATCGGTCAAGCCGTTCTCGAGATATGGCCGAATGAAGAAATCGGGAATGTAGGCAACACGTGGTGCATGTGTGACCGACGGGTTGCCCATGCGGCGTCTTGCAGGCGCTGTCGGAAAGGGACCTTTTTCAAACGCGTTTTTGAGACTGAAGGAGTGCGGGTGGAGAATGGCCGAGGACGGCATCGCGTAGGGCAAGGTTCGAACCGGACGCATGCCAAGTTTGAACCCTTTCGGACGACCGCAAGGGGGCCGCTCGGACGGCCGAAGATGGACTATTTCAAAAAGCTTCTCTCACGTCTCTAGACCGTTCTGAGCGAGATAATCCACCCCCCATTGAACGAGAGGCAAGTTTGAAGACCCCTTTACGACATGCAGTCGATGGACTGGATACATACATCAGTTAGACCCTGTTTCAGGCCGATCCAAAGTCCGTGACTTCCGTTTTCGACCCGTTTTCGGACCTTCGAACGGCCCCCGTGTTCAAAGTATTCGAGCTAGAGGTCTCGTTCAAAGCTTAAAAGAAAGCCCTTTAATAGGTCTAGAAGAGTGCCGAATGGCAGGGACGTCGTTTGAGAGATGGGGATAGAAAAAGCGGTTATTCGTCAATTTGGTCGGATTGGTGCAAAGTTCCGAATTTTGACCTTCAAACGGTCATTCACTGGTCGACAATCAAGCTGTGAAGTTCCCGGACATGGCAAATCGACGGATAATAGACGGCCCTAGAGGGCTGTGTCTGCAGAAATTCCCTTACGTTAACGGGAAGCCTTCAGCGGCCGCCGGATCGCAATATTTACAGTGTGGAAAAAGGAGGACATTTCCCGATTCGGTCGACAAAAACGGTCCCATGACGGAGCGAGACGGTTTTGGGCGGGCCCGGTTTGCGCAGGAGTGTTGTTCAAACTTGTCCCAAGGGATTAGAAAAAGAACGGACTGCTAGAAAAAATCTCGTCCAGTGGAGAGGTCTTGGACGCGAAACTCATCTTAAGCAAAAAGTGCGAATTTTGCCCGTTTTCGCTCCTTCAACCGTCCGTCCCGAACGACGTATGAGAGAAAGAGATCTCGTCTAATGATTTAATGAAATCTCTTGAAACGCACTAAATGTGGTGTCAAAATCATGGTGCTCAAACAGGAGCTGTGGGAGGGAGAGGCTGGACATGTCCAATTTGGACCATTTGGTACAAAGTTCCGAATTTCGACCTTCAAACGGTCATTCACTGGTCGAGAGTCAAGATAGAAAGCCCACCGAGGTGTCAAAACGAAGGTGTTGAATGCTTCTAGAGGCGTGTTTGATCAGATGTTCTATTAAATTTGAAGGAGGCAGTCAGCAGCCGAATCTTCTCCAAATTTTTATTAAGGAAAATTAGTGAAGTTCCCCGATTGGACCGACCAAATCGGTCTCATGACGAGACGGATTGACTTAGGCGGGTGAGGTTTGCACTAGGTTGTACCTGAGACTTTTCTCTAGGAGTCTTTAAAATATTAGACAGTTTGGAAGAACCTCGTCCAGTGAACAGGCCGAGATCGGGAAGCCCACATTAAGAAATGGGGCGAAACTTGGCCGCTTTTGGATCTTCAACAGCCCGTCACGTACGAAGTATGAGAGCTAGAGATCTCGTCTATGGCTTCAATTAAAGGTCTTATATCGCACTAAAGGACATATAAATTTGAACGGGCTCCAATGAAAGCTGTGGGAGGTAGATGCTTGAAATGTCCAATTTGGTCGATTTGGTACAAAGTTCCGAATTTCGACCTTCAAACTGTCATTCACTGGTCGAGAGTCAAGCTAGAAAGCCCACCGAGGTGTCAAAACAAAGGTATTGAGTGCTTCTAGTGACGTGTTTGGTCAGATGTTCTATTAAATTTGAAGGAGGCAGTCAGCAGCCGAATCATCACGAAATTTTAAGCAGGGAAAAATGGTGACATTCCCCGATCGGACCGACAAAATCGGTCTCATGACGAGACGGATTCACTTAGACGGGAACGGTTTGAACTGGGTTGTACCTGAGACTTTTCTCTAGGAGTCCTGAAAATATAAGACAGTTTGGAAGAACCTCGTCCAGTGAACAGGCCGAGAGCGGGAAGCCCACGTTAGGAAATATCGCGAAACTTGGACGTTTTTGGTCCTTCACCAGCCCGTCCCGTACGATGTATGACAGCTAGAGATCTCGTCTATGGCTTCAATTCAAGGTCTTAAACCGCACTAAAGGAGATATAAATTTGAACGGGCTCCATTGAGAGCTGTGCGAGGGAGATGCTTGAAATGTCCAATTTGGTCGATTTGGTGCAAAGTTCCGAAATTCGACCTTCAAACGGTCATTCACTGGTCGAGAATCAAGCTAGAAAGCCCACCGACGTCTCAAAACGAAGGTAATGAATGCTTCTAGTGGCTGGTTTTGTCCGAAGTACTAGGAAACTTAAAGGAGCGAGTCAGCAGCCGGATCCTTTCGAAAATTTCAGTGGTGCAAAATGGTGACATTCCCCGATTGGACCGAGAAAAACGATCTCACGACGAAACAGATTGACGTGGACGGGTGCGGCTTGCATTTAATTGTATATTTAACTTGTCTCTAAGTGTCCGAGAGAAATGAAACAGTTCGGAAGAATCTCGTCCAGTAGACAGGCCGAGAGCGGGAAGCTCACATTTGGCAAAAGCGCGAAATTTGGCCATTTTCAGACCTTCAACAGACCGTCCCGTACGAAGTATGACAGCTATAGATCTCTTCTATGGCTTAAATTAAAGCTCTTGAAACGCACTAAAGATCATATTAAAATGAATGTGCTCCAACGAGAGGTGTGAGTGGGAGATTGAATGGTTGCCCAATTTGGTCGATTTGGTACAAAGTTCCGCATTTCGTCCTTCAAATGGGCATTCACTGGTCGAGAATCGAGCTAGAATGCCCCGTGACGTTTTAAAATGAAGGTCATGAATGCGTCTAGACGCTTGTAAATAAATATATCTCGTTCTGTGACAGACAGCTGTCAGAAGTAGAATGAAGACAAAATTTTACAGTGTTGGAAAAATGGGGTGTTTCCCGATTTGATCGGGAAAAAGGAGGTTATAACGCAACGAAGTGACTTGGATAGGCCTGGTTTGCATTGAATCGTAGTTCAGACTTGTATCTAGTGCGGCGACCAAGAAACAGACGGCTGCAAAGACTCTCGTCCAGTGGAAAGGCATTCGACCCGATAATCATATTGAGCAAAAGTGTTGATTTTGGCCGTTTTCAGACCTTCAACAGACCGTCCCGTACGAAGTATGACAGCTAGAGATCTCATCTATGGCTCAAATGAAAGCTCTTTAAGCGCACTACAGGTGGTATTAAAATCACGGAGCTGCAACAAGAGCTGTGATAGGGAAAGGCCGGCGATGTCTAATTTGGTCAGTTTGCCCTTAAATGTCTTACAAAGAAAATTTTTCCCTAATACGAAGAAAATGGCGCAAGCATAATACGAACGTGGTTTTTCCTCGTATTACGAAGGTTTTTCTTTGTATCTTTGTACACATGTCGTGTCACATCCAAACGAATGTGACATCCATGTACTGTCACATTCATTTGAATGTGACATGCCAACTTTGTCACGTTCGT